CATATTTATCTGCGTAAATCAGTATCGAAGTAATTTGACAACCAAAAAAAAGAGTAGATATTCATTACTGAGTAGGTCTTGCAGTGAGCAAAAAGTGGATAATGGACTTCATTTCATGCCTATATAACTGACGAATTACAATATCATGTACATGATAAGGCGGATAGTTAAAAAATTCAGAAGCAAAGAAATGTTTATTTCCATGACTCATTACATGGCAATACTGACTCCAAATAACTAGCAGCATAGAATCATTTCGAATGAGTTTTGCGATATGATGATGAAATTAACCACTTATTTGCTTCTTTTGAAGAAAAAAAACTGTGTTGTGTGTCTTATTCGTTTGACTGCTTGGAGCTTGGGGGCGCGTCAATTGCTACAGTCATTAGTCCCGTTAGCGTCGTGAATGTTTTATATCCAGAATAGCGGTATTCCTCCCTCGCTAAAACGTGAGAATCTGCGCCGACCAGCAGGTGTAATGGTAATTTGCTATCTAGTCCATATGTAGTAGACATTGCTTCAGAAGAGCAATGAATATTTCTTTCAAACTGTACGTGAAAGAAATATCACCTCTTCAAACATGTTTAAATTAGGGTCGTGTCTGGAGCAGGGGCGCCCCTGAGGTCATGGGTGATTGGGCACCAAACCTGCGTCACGCTAAACGATCCAGACGTAGAACAGGAATGTTGGGATCTTGTGAGTTTTCAAAAGGCAAAAGTCCTCTGACAGTTATGTCAGTTTATTTAGCATTGCGAGTTCTGGCGGGGGTGTTCGTAATGGCTCTCGTAATCTCCCTGTTTCCATATAAGGATCTCTAGCTTGATATCGGACAGACAGCTACAGACTTGCTGTGTCAACTTCAGCTGCTTTTGCAGCCATTTTCAATTAAACTTTCATACTTACATTGGACTTGGTCTCTGTACTTGAAACTCTGCTCACACCACGCTCCTCCAGGACTTTTAGCATCCTGCGAACTCAACTTTTTGCATCTATACTGGAAGCATTTGTACTTGCCTGCAATCGCTGCTAGTAGCACGACACCTACAGCGACAGGCATTACACAGAGTGGGATGCCACAACTGCGCCTCCTGCATATCGCCCCGGCGCACAAGCTCTAGGCTCCCGACGGTCTCTTGATGTGTGTGGTAGAGTAGTGCGTGTAAGTTATGGAGAGGACAGGCCAAAGACGAGGAAGGGTAGAGCGCGCGTGGTCCGTGGCCCGTTTGCTAGAGCACTACTCCGGCATTCGCTGGTGTTAATCGGAGAAACCACGGAAAACTCCCAATCAGAGCAGCCGGCCGCTAGTATTCTCTATCAGACAACGGTTGTATTCAAAGAAGCTAGTGCTGATGCCTGGGATCTCCATTCAACGACACTGAGCCACCTCATTCTGCATTGCGAGCGGACATACGAGTAACAATCGCCCCCCCTCCCTCCTCAAGTCATAAGAAAACCATTCCAGCCACAGTCTCCGTCGCGCTCGCGCCCCGCCCCTTGTTGGCTCAGCCACCGCACGGAGGGGATTTCGGCACACAGTGGCCCGGCGCGGCTCAGCGGCAGCGCTGTTTGCTATTCAGAGGCGCCCGAAGAGGATTTCGGGGCGCGTGTTTGCTCGGATGGACGCCTTCGACAGGGAACACGAGAGGGCGTCGCATTGGGGAACTACGCGGCTTATGTTACCAAAGTTCAATGATCCAGCTCAGAGGAGCTCTGGCAGTACGTACGCGCTTTTCAAGGTACTACTCTCGGGATAAAAATAAAAATATACTCGTACAAATGGCCGATCATCCTTCAAATGCCGTTCTAAAAGACGTAGTGGTACATTCAGATTATTTCGCATTCATTGTAGTGGGAAGGACGTGCAGATGTCGTTGGTGATTAGATTCAACATGCAAGTCAGAAGCTGTCGGGCACCGGCGCCGTGGATCATTTGCGGAGTCGCACAGTCATGAATCCGAGTGGCCGGGTCAGCGACAAGTGAATAAGCGAGCGCTCGACACGTGGGCATTAGCTCTTTACGGTGTTCCTAGTTCTACGTCAGCAGAAACGGTTCTCTAAATTGAAAAACGGACAACATGCTAAACAGTGTAGCTAAGAACACTTCGCCAAACATCCATTCTATTTAGCACAATCGCTAAAAACAAATGAAAAATCTTCGATTTCTAGGCGTATAGTTCATTTTCTAGACGTCATTTGTTTCATTTTCATATATTGGGCTTCCTTAGCTGAACTCTTGACCTCCATGTCTTCATATTTCCGTAATTGAGAAACATACACGAAAAAAATAACAGTTGCAGTATACCAGATCCATGATACTGTAAGAAGGGAACTTGCTACAGTATCATGGATCTAGTATACTGCAACTATTCTTTGTTTTTTCGCGTAAAGAAATTATTTCCGTTACAATTCGTCCCAACGACAAAATATTTTTTTCGTAGTAAAATATATTCATAATTTCGTAATTTCATTTAAAATATATTCATAATGTTGACCAAACAATGGTGTAATAATCTTATGAAGCTTGATTTGAAACTCGGGGAAAAAATTATTTAACATTATTATTATTATTGAGTGTGATTACAGGTAAATCTCGTGCAATTGAGATGAATGAAAAACTAGTGGTACTACAGAACTTCACAGACTTCCTCGTAGTAGTTATATTTGTAATCTCTGAAGTTTTGTCAAGCTTTTCGGTTTTGCCACACTCTCTCCTCATCTGCTATTTTTTGCAGCCTAAAGGAAATTTGTACACATTTTTTCAAAGTTTCTATTCTCAATTTTCTTTAATAATGTCTATGTCATTCAAAATAATGGGGGAACTGCTAATATTCTCGTCGGGCTAAATGGACCGGAGACAAAATTTCATTTGGGCAAAAAAGTACAAACATTAGGCGCTATTGTTGTTTACAGTCTGACAAACGGACTTTTTGAAAGAAAAAAAGAAAAACAAACACTTCTTCGGTATCAGTGGATCACAAAACCTGTATTTGCATTGATATCTCGAAATAGATTTTCCGCAGCATTACATAACTTTCTCTATACAATGTACTTGTATATCATACATGTAGTAGGTGACCGAAAAATTAATTGATAGTGCTATAGAATGGCACGCACTTTTCCGTACTTGTTAATTTACGCATTTATTAGATTGGGCTCTATTTTCAGTTTTTTCCCTTTTCTCAACTGACATCTATTGGAGTCTAAAATACTTTTTTCGTATATATTATGTAAGGTTAAAACCTGGTCTTTTGTGTATAAAAAAATGATTTTTAACACATCGTAGCTCTTACTATTTGATTAAGAAAAATAATTTTTCGAGCAAGGTGGAGAAAATTTTAGGATCTTTAAATGTCTACATATCCATTTTGGCACGATCATCAAGTTATTATGCCTAAAAAAAGACCGAATAGTTCGTGATATATCGGCCACCAAAACATTTCCCGAAATATTTCTATGTGAAAACCTTAGGGCTTCCTTACTTATGACAGCATAATGAAAATTTTAAAAAATCTTCTACCTCACCTTTTGCAAGGTGGGCCCCCTAATCGCTCCCCGTCGACTGCACTAGTAGGCCCTGATCTAAATTTACTTAGCGCCGACCGCGTGAGAGCTGCCCCCGGGGCGCACGGCCACCTGGACGCGTGCGGGCGCTTCCACACTGGGGAGGGGGTGGGGGTAGACAGGAAGCGCCCGCGTAGGGAAACCTGTCAGCTTCCTTCCCTCGTCGCCACGCGACGCGACGCGACGAAACGCCACGCGCGCGCGCACCACAACAAACTAATTAAGCATTTCTCTTCTTCAACGTTCGGAATGCATGCGCTGTCTCAAGGTGACACATTTCAACATACGCACTTGCAGTACACTGCCGTGCGACAATTTCGCTGCAGTGATATCATGATCGGATAAAAAAAAAATCATTTACTAAATTATATATTCGGGATGTTTCGTGTAATTTTATGAAGTATGTGGGAACAAATTACAATGAACTGAAAAAAAACTATTGGTTAATAAATATGATTTGTTTTGGAACGAAACAGATGTAACCATTAAAGTGTCTGTGTATTTAATGTGATCTTTGAAACTTTTTGCAATTTAAATTTTATCAAGCATTATTAGTTATTTCAGAATATTTCTTTATTTTGAAAACCTGATTATGGCAGTTAAAACTGAACAGATTCTCTGCCCTTCTAAATAGGAATTATTAGCTCCAAAAACGAAAATTATCAATAAAAATTGTTCGTGTTTTATTGAATATTCAGCATTGGCAATTCAATCACATTAAAAATCATCGTGGAAAAATATTAAGAAGTACTTCATCCTTCTTTTTGAAGATTGAATTTTTGGATTGTTTGTAAATAAAGTTTCGAAAGTTATTGTAAACATTAGTCAAAGGATTTTCTTCTACTTACCAATACGTCCATATGAGAAGTAAGTTTTGAATTTGAAGATTTAGCTGTCAGTGAATATACATCGGCGTCTTGTTGCCGAAAACAATATTATAATTTTCTTTCACAACAAAAGAAACAATTTTCACTTATTCACACGTTTGCTTCATGCAGAAACTCGCTAGTTCACTACGAAAGGCTTCTCCCTATACCACGCACAAGCACACCTACCGGCGAACTGTTGCCGCCACCTTCAAACCGAGTGCCAAAATATACCACGTCGCAGCGCACTCTCAGCAGCACTTGCGTTTTCCCCTCCTCTCTACACTCCCAGATGGCAGCATACTCAGCAAGCGCTATCTCGTAATCATTCGTAGAACCTGAAATGTATCTGTAAAAAATAATTAATAAATTTAATTTTAAAGATATTTTTTGATAATTTTGTAAATATTAAAATAAATTAAAAGAATAAATATTTTTAAAAAGTGCTTGGGGACACTGCTAGGATTAATTTTCAGAGTTTGAACTCTGAACCAAAGAGTGTTGAGAGAACGGACGGAACTTCCAACTTCAATAAAATGAACAAAATAACGATTATTTTCTATTCAGAATCAAGTATAAATAGCAACTTATTGTGCTTAATTTTGTGAAAAGAAATTTTAAAACTTGAAATAATGATATTAGTAGTACGTAGATCATGTTTATTAATTTATGAGTATAATCTACATTCTCATGAATAAAGGCAGTCCATTTGAAGAACGCTTCACTTCCGTTTAGTTGTGCTCGCTCTTCCTTTACACGAGGTGACGGCAAGATGCAGAAGGTGAAGGTATGTATAGTAAATTGATTTGTTGTAATTTTAATGATTTGTTTTGTTATTTATTAACAACATTTTTAAATATTTATTTTATTGATTTCAGCAAAAGGAGCAGGTCCAGTCGGTCCAGGTGTTTGGCCGGAAGGTAATCAGACAGTGACCACATGTTTGGTGTTTGTAGTTTCTTAATGCTGTATTTTGCCCATCCTACATGTACTTGGCATGCCAGTAATTTGGGGTTGATTTTTTTTCTATTTCGTATTATGAGTGAGGTTATAAATCCATGAACCTCTGTGAGTTAGTTGATCTTTGGTGGAGTCGTAACCCATGTGAGTTCACATTGAGCTTGACCAGTGTGAAATGTTAATTTTTAAATTTTAAAAAGCAATAATAAAAATGGTTTGGTAATGGTAATCTGCTTTTTGAATAATGTTTTGTACAACTGTTCTCAAATTGATGCTAGATCCTTGTCAGTGTTAATGTTGGTTTTGTTTTAGAAAACTGCCACAGCGGTAGCTTACTGCAAGCGAGGTAATGGCCATATTACAGTAAATGGACGTCCCCTAGACTTACTGGAGCCACAGGTGCTGCAGGCAAAATTACAAGAGCCTATTCTTCTTCTTGGAAAGGTATTCTTGTTATAGTTTTAATTAATACTGAATGTGACTAGTAATGACAAATATATGTAGTTTTAAAAGATATTTCTAAGTTTGTTGAGTAGTTGAGGTGAATTTGGAATGTTATACTATACTGGTCAATGATACACATAAATGATCTTATGGTACAAGTCGCTAGTTTCATTTATGTGTCAGGATCTGATTTAATTCAGTGTGTTTCTCTGGATTATTGTTCACCAGACAGGAATCGTTTGCAATTATTATGAAACTTTTAAACTTTCACTTTACAATTACTAACAATTTTACGTCCATGAATATATAGCATGGGTTTAATAAAGTTTATTCTGAACTTAACAATATTACTACAATTATATTTTGTCATCAAAGACTTCGTCAGGCTAAGAATTACCCCTGGGAGAAATTAGAATGAAAAAAAAAACAACATAAATTTGAGTATTGTATTTTCATTTCTGTTCTGCTGAATTTATTCTATTCTGCTTTTATGTGGCGTCTGGTGAGATTTTTTCTTACATTGTACTTTGTGTGGTTTTTGGTGAAGTGTGTGAATTTGTAATGGACCACATTAATGGTTAATTTTTGGATATATGTGTAATTTGAACTGTCCAGGTATAACATACATATGTAAGGAGATGAAATTGCCAGAGTGAAAGAAATTTAGTGGATGAGCAGATAGAAAGGGATAAATTATGTGCCGAAAAGCAAGAAAGAAAGGATTCATGGTTTCCTGTGTTGATTGAGGATGTATGTGAAGTGCTTTCTCCTTTTTGGTGTTAAAAGCACTGTGTGAATTGATCATGAATGAATGGTAGTGTGTTTGGATTAGTTCTTGCTGGGAAAAATGCAGCAATGATAGAGATAAAAGAGAATAAAGTGTTCTGGGGAATGATTGAAGCATGTTTGATAATATACAGTTTAATAGTGGCGAGCACAAGAATGATTCTTGGAGGTACTATTGTGTGATAGTAGGGGTTTAGGGGTGGCAGCCCTCAATAGAGCACCATTAAAGTTGCAGTAATAATGCATTCATAAAATAGATTTTGTTGAAAACAAGTTTAAATGTACCATATAAATCATCACTTCTCACGTGTTCACTAAACAAGATATTCAATATTGAAAAGTAAATTGGATCCTGCATGTTACCATAAACCTAAATTTATTTTCTTAACATATATGTAATACTTTATTTTGCAGGAGCGATTTTCTGGAGTTGATATTCGTGTTCGTGTAAACGGTGGTGGCCATGTGTCGCAAATATATGCAATTCGACAAGCGATATCCAAAGCGCTAGTAGCTTATTATCAGAAATGTAAGTAGATGCTGGTTTTATAAACATATTTTTAATAGTAAGATTTTATTCTGTAATATATTGACTAACCTTCAGGTTTGAAGGTGATCGGTTACATCAGAAGT